TGGGAGCGAGGAGGGGAACAGGGGGAGCTTGCTTTGGGAAGCTTTGTCATGCCTGACCCTTCCGTGCCGCTGTAAGGACGGTGGGAGCACAGGTTGGTCCCCCTGAGCCTGTGACCTGCTGGGGCAGAGCTGTGTCTGCTCTGCGTGGAGAGACAAGGGGAAAGGTGCAGCGATTGGGGTGAGGGGAAACTGAGATTTGGGCTTGATTGTGTGGAGTATTTGCAGATGGAGTCAATGCACAGAGGCTGTGGGGCTTAAGCTGCAGCTGGGAAGATGCGTAGCTGTCAGGATGTGCTGCCGAGGGTAAGGCTGTGCCCTGGGGCTGCTGAGCTCCGCTTTGAGCGAGGAGGGGGGTGAGGTGGCGGGTTTGAAGCTGGCACAGGACCCTGCCCATGCCGCGTCCTGAGTATCGCATCTCTGCTCCGGCTGCCAGACTCTTCCCCGCACGATTCCCAGCACGCACCCCCCGTGCCTGCCACGGTGTCGATGCATGCCAGGGAGCCCCAGCAGGATCCCGGCCCTGTGGGGTGTTTCCCAGCTCTCTGGAGGGAGCGGTGATCCCCCACCGCTTCCACTTAATCACCAGCTTATTTCAGCCGCAGGTCCTGTCTCTGCCTGAGCTGGGCTGGTGGTGGGGTTGGTAGGACAGATCCTGCCCCGCAGCAGGGGCTGGGCAGGAGTCCCTCTAAGCCCCGCTGCTTTCTGCCAGTCCAGTGAGATCCCGGAGCTGTCACGTCAGCAGGATTTGCCTTCCTGATGCTCTGGTGCTCCACAGAACCGGCTGGGCCAGTTCTGGCCCTGCTCCCCCAGGGAGCTGAACCCCCTCTGTCCTCCCACCACTCTGGGGGGGCTGCTGGAGGCAGCTTGGTTCTGCTGCTGCAGGAGAGGGCCCAGCACGCTCGCAGGGGATCCAGAGCTGCGCCGTGTTGGTGAAGATGACTCCGGGGGGATGCGAGCATGCAGCAGTCTTCCAGGAAGAGCCTGTGGCCTCACACGGCTTTCCCATGCCAGCTCCACTTCACGTGGCTGCCAAGTGAGTCATGCAGCCCAGCCAGGCTCCTCGCCGCCAGGCCGGAGACAGGCAGGTCAGGGACTGCAGCAAGGCTCCGTACCTCTCCTGGCTCCCTTCCCCTGCTCCCTGCACAGCCCTGGGTCCCTGGAAGAGCAGAGGAGGGGAGGGACCCGTCCCTGGGATCTTGCTGTTCAAGGTGCAGCAGGGTGCAGCTGGGCTGGTAGGACCCAGCAGGCTTGAGTGCATCCCTGGAGGGTCCCTAGAACAAAGTGAGCGGCAGAAATGTGCCTTCTCCCTCCCCGAGGACTGCCAGCCCTCCGCTGGGAACAGGGGCGCATCCTTTCCCATGGCCCTGTCCCCTCCATTCTCCCCGCGGTGCTGCTCTGCCCCACAGAAAAGCCAGCCCAGACATGCTGCGGCAGCAGTAAACAGACCGATTTTAATGCACGTATCACCCAACATCACTGTGGGAGGGACTCGTCCCTTCCCTTGCAACCCTCTCAGGCCATCAGCTGCGAAACGCAGCCACCCCTGGCCCTCCAGCTGCCTGCGCGGAC